GGGTGGCCACATCTGTGGCTCCCAACAAGAAACTGCTTGCAGAGCATCGTGTTGTGCTCCCTAAAGGGGACCATTTTCATAGTCAGCAACGTTTCTTTGTCTTTGCCCCAAATACTGCCGGCTAGCGACTTGAGGACCTTGTTGCGGCTCTGTACTTTATTGACAATAGCTGGTTCTACGTACCGGAATGACTCGGGTTTTACTCGACCAAGGGCTGTTGTTTCGGCGATCTAACCCCGTTTAGGTCGGCGAAGTATCTCAGAAAATCTATTTATCGTCTGGGATTGTTGTACATTTCTGAATGTACTGATGAATTAAGTTGAATTTGACTTTTTAAGCACATGGCAACTCGCCTAAATAAAGTTCAGAAATAAATTATTATCAAACCCATTTCGATTGATACCCATCTTTTGAAAATCCATGTATCTTAATAAATAATTTGAATTTAATTTTTTCAATTCTGACGCTCTTAAAAATTCTAAATGCTCAATTTAAAGATTGTTAAACTCGTACGTGTGATACCCATATTTTAAAATTTTATGTAACTTATGTATAATTAAACTAAATACGACTTTCAAAACAGGTGGCAACCCATTTCCAAACTACTACCTTCTTAAACCTTTTTAGCCCTTTAATTTGACACCAAATTTTTTGAATCGAACGAATGGTACAGATCTGATGACCCCGACAAAAAATCCCTTCGCGTATTATATATGCAATTAAAATTAGTTTTTTTATCAGAACTTGCTTTAGCATAAATTTTATCAATAAAGAATATTTTTGTGTATCAGAAGATATTTTTGTTGTTTGATATTAAAGTGTAAAAATTCCCTTTTTTGGCCTTTTGACCTTGAATAAAACTTACAGTTTTGTTTCCCCCAAAAAAGTATGTTGTTGTAATCAGTATAAATTCCTCTTTGGAGCCCTTTTTTTGAGAAGTGTACATATGTATGTACGTGGTCTGCCGTTGCTCCGGAACTTATTGCGAGGGGAAATCTTGCGGCTATTAAAGCTCTCCCATCATTCGAGATCAAGTGCTCCTTGGTTTTCGAGTGTGTAGAGGCTTAATGCTCTGGCTGAGGTTAATGATATTCAACTGATTTGGGTACCAGGGCACATGGGGGTATGAAGAAGCTTATCAGTTGGCCAGAACGGCCGCAGCCTCGACCCCGATATGATCTGAGCGCTTCCTTACAGTGGGACCCAACATTATAAAGGAAATGCTGAGAAAGGAAAATACCTAACCGAGGTAACTGCATTGGCGTAACACCACGAGTCTAAGCCAGGCAAAGCATATTAGGAGGGTACAATATGAAAAGATATAGGTTATTCATGGATATCCCCAAGGAGAAACTAAGAATCATTGCAGGGCCATTGCAGGCCAATAGGGCGCTTGTATAAATAAGGAATCCTCTCCAGTGACCTGTATCGCTTTTGCGAAGCTGCCAAGGAGACTCCTTTACACTTTCTTATGGAGTGTGAGGCCGTTGCACGGAGGAATAGGAGCATAGGGCACCTGTGGCCAAGATAGCACATAAATTCCCGGGATCTATAATGAAATTGATGAAGTCTCTAGGGATAGTCGAGGTGTTGTGAGGAGCTAAGGGCACAATAGACCTACCGGTCGCAGTGCTATAACTAACTATATGTCAGTCTATTTATGATGAAATCTCCAAAAACGTAAATTTTGAATTACTTCTCTATATTATTAAACGTGCCATATGTATGTATGTATGACATTCATACCTCTAAAGATTGATTTATTTTAACTTTTTAGAATTGAAGTGATTCATAAAAATTTCAGAATTGGTATCAATTTGAAGTAAAGTTGCTTGCAAATTTATAGATTTTATTATCAGAAAGTATTTTTGGGCAAATCGGTGATGGGGGTATTAAATATACATATCGTCACCTGAAATGCAAAAAGACGTAACAACATCGTAAATGAAATGGAAACAGTGGCTATATTTAAATTTCGTTTTCATAAAATGATGTGGGGATTTATGTAGGTACATATGTATGTAATTCGATGAAATCCATCATATAAATCAAAAAGTGAATTTTGAATTTCTTAATAGTTACGACCATGATAAAAACATAGCAAGGTAGAACCGTTCTCTCTATTTGTCGGCCATGATTTTTTTCTGAAGTTTGTCAACATTTTAAAATCATATAAAAGTGAAAATAAAAAATTGAAATTGTTCGAAATTGTCATCATGGCTGACAAATTGAGAGAACGGTTCTACCTTGCTATATTTTTATCATGGTTACGACTTTTTGCATTTCAACGATGATGTTTATTACTTTTTCAGGAGACAATATATACACAAATGCCGGAATTTTCGATTCTAAATGTAAACATCGACAAATTAAAATTATTTCAATATGTACAATTTCATAAAACTTGGAACTTTTAACAAGTTTTACGTTTTCATAATTTTCTGGCTATTTCTGTCTTTGAATATTGCAGGTCCAATGAGTATTAACTCAACTGAGAACTTTTTTTATACAAGGCTGTGCGTGAACATACATATGTAAGTATTCTTTTAGTACTTGCGTCTAATATTTACCGAACAGTATGTATGACTAGTATCCAGGCGAAATCATTTCGTCCGACACCATCCACTAAGTGGCACACACTCAATTCAAAACTGAAACCCCAAAACTAAACAACGATATGTGCAACAATAGAAACAGTTCTCCGCAGCGACCGACACCCATTCACTAACTTGCAACTAAACAGGAGTCGCCCCCATTCAAATAACACATTGAACATACACCACACCTTATGACCGTTACAAGGTGCTGTTGCACTCCTCCAACCACCCACACATGTCAGCATCTATAGTAGATATGGCGACTCATATGCATATACATATGTATGTATGTACGAGCGTACACCATACGTATGTACATCCAATGATACATGTGAATATGTTGTTTGGCCTGCTCCATGGCCTCCTTCAACCGCCAGCTTCGCTTTAGAGATCTATTCGTATTTGCTCCTGATGCGCTTCGTGCATAAATTAATCAGCACAAACGAAAGTACCCGACAGGCTTCACAATTGGGAGGCATACAAGACGAGGCTAAACACCAAACAGAAGAACGCAACAACGAAGATGAACACAAAGCGCAGATGAAGAAAAAAGGACGTTCTGAAAACTGCACAGCCCAGCACTGGGACTCGACGCGACAGCAAAGGGGGTGTCCCATAAATTTGGGACTCCGCTGACGTTGGCCATGGACCATTCGTTCGTTTGTTGGTGTTAATTGCCAGCGAACGCATTGAGAAAATATGAACAGCTGAACTTACACGAAGAAAATGCAATTGACACAATTTCTACAGTACCATTTGAATCCGGTTATACTTTTAATATGCATTATTTACTTCAAAAAACAAAATGCTTGTATAAATATACACACATTCGCATCTCAATATCTTTTCAGTTGGCACTTTAGGGTTTTTTTCCTGCAAATTCCTACTGCACTCCACCAACATGGCGATAGGTTTACATTTTCAGATTGGTATACAATTTTTCCAACTTTACCTTGAATGAAATTAAAGGCAAGCACAGCAAAAACATACATTATCGCACACTTTACACAATTTCCTTTAACTCACAAATAGTTTATTTATATTTTCAACTAATTAGCGTACACAATTTCAAAGTAAAAGGACTAAATCTATCCCTTGTCCTATTTTTTAGCACACTCGCCCGAATATTTCTTCTTCCAACTGGACTCTGCAAAAAGCAACCACAAACAAGTGCTGCCGGATCAATTTAGAATGAATTTCGATAAGTCAACCAAAGAACGTAAATGTATAAGAAGCGACAACTCGTTACTTT